CCTGTGCGACGGCAGCCCATCACAGCCCCGTGACATCCCGTCCCGTCCCGAGTCCCCGTGCGACGGCAGCGCATCACAGCCTCGTGACATCCCGTCCCGCCCCGAGTCCCCGTGCGACGGCAGCCCATCACAGCCCCGTGACATCCCGTCCCGCCCCGAGTCCCTGTGCGACGGCAGCCCATCACAGCCCCGGGACATCCCGCCCTGAGTCCTTGTGCGACGGCAGCGCATCACCGCCCCGTGACATCCCATCCCGCCCCGAGTCCCTGTGCGACGGCAGCACATCAGAGCCCCGTGACATCCCGTCCCGCCCCGAGTCCCTGTGCGACGGCAGCCCATCACAGCCCCGTGACATCCCATCGCGCCCCAAGTCCCCATTCGACGGCAGCCCATCACAGCCCCGTGACATCCCGCCCCGAGTCCCTGTGCGACGGCAGCGCATCACAGCCCCGTGACATCCCATCCCGCCCCGAGTCCCCGTGCGATGGCAGCCCATCACAGCCCCGTGACATCCCGCCCCGAGTCCCTGTGCGACGGCAGCCCATCACAGCCCCGGGACATCCCGCCCCGAGTCCCTGTGCGACGGCAGCCCATCACAGCCCCGGGACATCTCGCCCTGAGTCCCTGTGCGACGGCAGCGCATCACAGCCCCATGACATCCCGTCCCGACCCGAGTCCGCGTACGACGGCAGCCCATCACAGCCCCGTGACATCACCTCCCGCCCCGATTCCCTGTGCGACGGCAGCCCATCACAGCCCCGTGACATCCCGTCCCGCCCCGAGTCCCTGTGCGACGGCAGCCCATCACAGCCCCGTGACATCCCGTCCCGCCCCGAGTCCCTGTGCGACGGCAGCCCATCACAGCCCCGGGACATCCCGTCCCGCCCCGAGTTCCTGTGCGACGGCAGCGCATCACAGCCCCGTGACATCCCATCCCGCCCCGAGTCCCTGTGCGACGGCAGCCCATCACAGCCCCGTGACATCCCGTCCCGCCCCGAGTCCCTGTGCGACGGCAGCGCATCACAGCCCCGTGACATCCCGTCCCGACCCGAGTCCGCGTACGACGGCAGCCCATCACAGCCCCGTGACATCACCTCCCGCCCCGATTCCCTGTGCGACGGCAGCCCATCACAGCCCCGTGACATCCCGTCCCGCCCCGAGTCCCTGTGCGACGGCAGCCCATCACAGCCCCGTGACATCCCGTCCCGCCCCGAGTCCCTGTGCGACAGCAGCCCATCACAGCCCCGGGACATCCCGCCCTGAGTCCTTGTGCGACGGCAGCGCATCACCGCCCCGTGACATCCCATCCCGCCCCGAGTCCCTGTGCGACGGCAGCACATCAGAGCCCCGTGACATCCCGTCCCGCCCCGAGTCCCTGTGCGACGGCAGCCCATCACAGCCCCGTGACATCCCATCGCGCCCCAAGTCCCCATTCGACGGCAGCCCATCACAGCCCCGTGACATCCCGCCCCGAGTCCCTGTGCGACGGCAGCGCATCACAGCCCCGTGACATCCCATCCCGCCCCGAGTCCCCGTGCGATGGCAGCCCATCACAGCCCCGTGACATCCCGCCCCGAGTCCCTGTGCGACGGCAGCCCATCACAGCCCCGGGACATCCCGCCCCGAGTCCCTGTGCGACGGCAGCCCATCACAGCCCCGTGACATCCCGTCCCGCCCCGAGTCCCTGTGCGACGGCAGCGCATCACAGCCCCGTGACATCCCGTCCCGACCCGAGTCCGCGTACGACGGCAGCCCATCACAGCCCCGTGACATCACCTCCCGCCCCGATTCCCTGTGCGACGGCAGCCCATCACAGCCCCGTGACATCCCGTCCCGCCCCGAGTCCCTGTGCGACGGCAGCCCATCACAGCCCCGTGACATCCCGTCCCGCCCCGAGTCCCTGTGCGACAGCAGCCCATCACAGCCCCGGGACATCCCGTCCCGCCCCGAGTTCCTGTGCGACGGCAGCGCATCACAGCCCCGTGACATCCCATCCCGCCCCGAGTCCCTGTGCGACGGCAGCCCATCACAGCCCCGTGACATCCCGTCCCGCCCCGAGTCCCTGTGCGACGGCAGCGCATCACAGCCCCGTGACATCCCGTCCCGCCCCGAGTCCCTGTGCGACGGCAGCCCATCACAGCCCTGTGACATCCCGCCCTGAGTCCCTGTACGACGGCAGCGCATCACAGCCCCGTGACATCCCGTCCCGCCCCGAGTCCCCGTGCGACGGCAGCCCATCACAGCCCCGTGACATCCCATCCCGCTCCGAGTCCCCGTGCGACGGCAGCCCATCACAGCCCCGTGACATCCCATCCCGCTCCGAGTCCCCGTGCGACGGCAGCCCATCACAGCCCCGTACATTCCGTCCTGCCCCGAGTCCCTGTGCGACGGTAGCCCATCACAGCCCCGTGACATCCTGTCCCGCCCCGAGTCCCTGTGCGACGGCAGCCCATCACAGCCCCGTGACATCACCTCCCGCCCCGAGTCCCTGTGCGATGGCAGCACATCACAGCCCGGTGACATCCCGTCCCGCCCCGAGTCCCTGAGAACCCTTTTGTTTGATTAAATTGGTTGTAAACTGCCACTTATTATTAAGTCTAGTGTTTTTTGTGGTGGTACAAGGACTGGAATGCCTAAGAAAACTGCTTTTCTGACTTCTTGTTAGTCAGTGTGGTGAAACAGAAGTTTACTAGTGTTGCTGATTTGGTATATGGGAAAATAACCACCAGTTTTGGGGTGTATCTGCCCTATTTCTCAGCAGTTTGTCCTGAATTTGGTATTCTCAGTTGTGATCCATGAAGGCACCATGACACCTTGTCTTCTTCGAGTGCTCCTTTAACAATTCAATCATCCAGTGGCCTCATTGACTGTTTGGCAGGCTTCCTGCTTGTGATGTACTTAAAAAAATGTTGCAATTAGTTTTTACGTCTTTTGGTAGTTGCTCTTCAAATTCTTTTTTGGCCTGTCTAAGTATATTTTTACACTTGACCTGCCAGAGTTTCATGCTCCATTCTGTTTTCCTCAGTAGGATTTGACTTCCAATTTTTAAACGATGTCTTTTTGTCTCTAACCACTTCTTTTACTCTTTTGTTTAGCCATGGTGGCATTTTTTTGGTCCTCTTACTGTAGTTTTTTGTTTGGGATATACATTTAATTTGAGCCTCTATTATATTTAAAAAAATTTCCATGCAGCTTGCAGGCATTTCACACTTGTGACGGTTCCTTTTAATTTCTATTTAACTAGCTTCCTCATTTTTGTGTAATTCCTCTTTTGGAAGTTGAATACTACTGTGGTGGGTTTCTCTGACATTTTTGCCCCTACAAGGATGTTAAATTTAATAACTTTATGGTCACTATTACTGAGCAGTTCAGCTATATTCACCTCTTGGACTAGATCCTATCTCCACCTAGGATTAAACCAAACATTGCCTCTCCCCTTGTGGGTTCCAGGACTAGCTGCTCCAAGAAGCAGTCATTAATGGTGTCTAGAAATTTTATCTTTGCATCCCTTCCTGAAGTGACATGTACCCAGTCCATATGGTGATAGCTGAAATCCCCATTACTGGGTTTTCTGGTTTTTTTTTTTTTGTCTCTCTAATCTATCTGAGCATTTCATAATGCTTGTCACCATCCAGGTCAGATAGTTGGTAGTAGATTCCTGTTGCTACACTCATTATTCAAGCATGACATTTCTATCCATAGAGATTCTCTAGAGTGCAGTTTAATTCATTTAAGATTATTCGCAAAAAGGAGTACTTGTGGCACCTTAGAGACTAACCAATTTATTTGAGCATAAGCTTTCGTGAGCTACAGCTCACTTCATCGGACATTCGATGAAGTGAGCTGTAGCTCACGAAAGCTTATGCTGAAATAAATTGGTTAGTCTCGAAGGTGCCACAAGTACTCCTTTTCTTTTTGCGAATTCAGACTAACACGGCTGCTACTCTGAAACCTTTAAGATTATTGTTATAGTTGACTTTATGCTTTCTTTCACACATACTGCCATTTCCCCACCAGCAAGACCTAGTCTCACATTCCAGTATATTTTGTACTCTAGTATTACCATGTCCCATTGATTATCATCATGCCACCATGTTTCTGTAATGTCTATTATATCAATATCCTCATTTAATTCCAGGCACGCAAGTCCACCCATCTTAGTATTTAGACTTCTAGCATTTGTATACAGGCACTTATACAATTTACCAATATTTAGTTATCTGCCTTCATGTGATGTAATTCAACGGGACTCTCTTTCGTTTGACTACTTCTCTTCAGTTCCCAGATCCACTAGATTTTTCTTGTTCCCTATTGGAAACTCAGATCAGAATTCTAAAGTTTATCTATATATTTATATTCTTCTCCATCTCTTCTCCATCATCCCACATCCCCTGCATATCTACGTCTCCTGGCCTCCATTCCCACATCATGCTCTCTCATCTCCTACTTTATCCATTCACAGCCTCTGAGCTGCTCCATCTGCCCACCCCCTCCACCAGAGTTATTTCTTTGCCCTCCTATTCCAGTCCAACTCCAAGCATTCAAAAATCACAAGCCAGGCTCCTACAAACCATGAAACTGGTTTAAAAATATATGATTTTTTTTTTAAAGATAAGTCCGCAACAGTCATTTCATTCAGTTTCCGATTAGTCCTCGGAGTGCATCGAGGTGGTCGTGTTTTCACGTGTGCTCCGGGACCCTGAGCACTAGGCAGTGGCTTTTTTTAAAAAATGGAAGCTGAGATTCTCACCTGGTCACTGTACTCCAGCAGCTGGGTCTTTAAGAAAACATCCCCTCAAGGGAGACTCCCAATCCAAGCAGGAGAGCTAGCAACGATTGCACATGCTCCCCTTCCCCCACCCCTCCCGATCATCCCCTTGCCCTACCCCTGCGTTCCACCTGCCATCCCCTGCCCCGCTCCCGCTCCCGCACCAAACTCAGGGCAGACTAAGGGCAGCAGCTTCAGTGGGGCCTCACGTTCCTAGTGGGCATGCGCAAACGCCATGCACATGCGCAGTAGTGCTGCAGCCGTCAGAGTTGGAACGAGCGCGGCCGGTTGGGAGGTCGGGCGGCTGGTTCCGCTGGCAGCCCGCCCCCCACCCAAGGTGGGGAGGTCGCGGGGCCCCATGGCTGCCGTGTTCCTGGTGACGCTCTACGAATACTCCCCGCTCTTCTACATCGCTGTGGTGTTTGTCTGCTTCCTGGTCACCAGCGGCCTGGTGCTGGGCTGGTGAGCGCGGGGGCCGGGGGAGGCGGGGCTGGTGAGCGCGGGGGCCGGGGGAGGCGGGGCTGGTGAGCGCGGGGGCCGGGGGGCGGGGCTAGTGAGCGCGGGGGCCGGGGGAGGCGGGGCTGGTGAGCGCGGGGGCGGGCTGGTGAGCGCGGGGGCCGGGGGGGCGGGGCTGGTGAGCGCGGGGGCCGGGGGGCGGGGCTGGTGAGCGCAGGGGCCGGGGGCGGGGCTGGTGAGCGCGGGGCGGGGCTGGTGAGCGCAGGGGCCGGGGGGCGGGGCTGGTGAGCGCGGGGGCCGGGATCGGGCCGGGGGCCGGGGCTGGTGAGCGCGGGGGCCGGGATCGGGCCGGGGGCCGGGGCTGGTGAGCGCAGGGGCCGGGGGGCGGGGCTGGTGAGCGCAGGGGCCGGGGGGCGGGGCTGGTGAGCGCGGGGGCCGGGATCGGGCCGGGGGGGCGGGGCTGGTGAGCGCAGGGGCCGGGGGGCGGGGCTGGTGAGCGCGGGGGCCGGGATCGGGCCGGGGGGGCGGGGCTGGTGAGCGCGGGGGCCGGGATCGGGCCGGGGGGGCGGGGCTGGTGAGCGCGGGGGCCGGGATCGGGCCGGGGGACGGGGCTGGTGAGCGCAGGGGCCGGGGGGCGGGGCTGGTGAGCGCGGGGGCCGGGATCGGGCCGGGGGGACGGGGCTGGTGAGCGCAGGGGCCGGGGGGCGGGGCTGGTGAGCGCGGGGGCCGGGATCGGGCCGGGGGCCGGGGCTGGTGAGCGCGGGGGCCGGGATGGGGGACGGGGCTGGTGAGCGCGGGGGCCGGGATCGGGCCGGGGGGCCGGGGCTGGTGAGCGCGGGGGCCGGGATCGGGCCGGGGGACGGGGCTGGTGAGCGCAGGGGCCGGGGGGCGGGGCTGGTGAGCGCGGGGGCCGGGATCGGGCCGGGGGGCGGGGCTGGTGAGGCAGGGCCGGGGGCGGGGCTGGTGAGCGCGGGGGCCGGGATCGGGCCGGGGGGACGGGGCTGGTGAGCGCAGGGGCCGGGGGGGCGGGGCTGGTGAGCGCGGGGGCCGGGATCGGGCCGGGGGGCCGGGGCTGGTGAGCGCGGGGGCCGGGATGGGGGACGGGGCTGGTGAGCTCGGTGGCCCGGGATAGGACCGGGGGGGCGGGGCTGGTGAGCGTGTTGCCCGGTATCGGGGCTGGGGAGGGGAGCCCGGGGGCAGTGGGAGGCGGAGGAGGGGCCGGGGCTGGCTTAGGCTTAGAGGCCGCCTGAGGCCTGCTGAATGTGGAGAGGGCAGGGAAGGTCCCCTTACCCTGCCTGCCTTGGAAAGGGTTCAGCAGCAGTCTCACTACTGTGAGCTACTTTCAGAAACAGTTACCCCTGTTCCCACAGAGATGGGCAACGCCTGCTAGACCCCTCTGTCCACATCTGACAAGACAGGATTGCTTCCTACAGTTCATAGCAATAAATGCAGATCTTAATCAAGTGGTAGGCTGGGATGCGATGCAGTTGCAGCTAATGAGGAATGTGGCCATTCCAGCAGAGCCTAGTCCCTGATGCTCAGTCGGTTAGTCAACTGATAAATGATCAAAAGCGTCTAGGTGGCTGTTGTCTGGAAAGCCATGTTTGCATAGGAAATTTCAGGTTCGGAAACTGACTCAGCATAGATCATAAGAACATAAGAATGGCCGTACTGGGTCAGACCAAGCCCAGTATCCTGTCCTCTGACAGTGGGAATGAACAGACAGGTTATCATCACAGATCCATGCCCCGTCACCCATTCCCAGCTTCTGGCAAACAGAGGCTCGGGACACCATCCCTGCCTATCCTGGCCAATAGCCATTGATGGATCCTGCCTCTTTATTGAATTAACATTGATACCTGTAGTACTGAGTCTCAATATTTTCCTCATCCTTTGAAACCAGTTGCTCTGGTTACTGGTATTGGTACTTTTGGTAGCTTATAAATATGCTGCTTGACTTTTCCTTTAGTGTAATATCCTTTCTATGTTTCAGAGTAACAGCCGTGTTAGTCTGTATTCGCAAAAAGAAAAGGAGTACTTGCGGCACCTTAGAGACTAACCAATTTATCTGAGCATGAGCTTTCGTGAGCTACAGCTCACTTCATCGGATGCATACTGTGGAAACTGCAGAAGACATTATATACACAGAGACCATAAAACAATACTTCCTCCCACCCCACTCTCCTGCTGGTAATAGCTTATCTAAAGTGATCATCAAGTTGGGCCATTTCCAGCACAAATCCAGGTTTTCTCACCCTCTGCCCCCCCCCCCCCAAACTCACTCTCCTGCTGGTAATAGCCCATCCAAAGTGACCACTCTCTTTAAAATGTGTATGATAATCAAGGTGGGCCATTTCCAGCACAAATCCAGGTTTTCTCACCCCCCCATCCCCCTCCAAAAATCACACACACAAACTCACTCTCCTGCTGGTAATAGCTTATCCAAAGTGACCACTCTCCTCACAATGTGTGTGAAAATCAAGGTGGGCCATTTCCAGCACAAATACAGGTTTTCTCACCCCCCCCCCTCCTTTTTTTTTTTTTCAAAAAAACACACACACACAAAAACTCACTCTCCTGCTGGTAATAGCTTATCCAAAGCGACCACTCTCCCTACAATGTGCATGATAATCAAGGTGGGCCATTTCCAGCACAAATCCAGGTTTTCTCACCCCCCCCCCCACACACACACAAACTCACTCTCCTGCTGGCAATAGCTCATCCAAACTGACCACTCTCCTTACTCACCTTACACTCTAAGGTGCCACAAGTACTCCCTTTCTATGTTATCACCTCTTATTTAGTAGTTGCTAGTTTAAATAAACTTGTAGCATTAATTCCTTTGAGTAGTATGTAAAGTTACCTCTTGATTTCTTTCCCAGTGATTAGAAGCATAAGCTTTTTGTATAACTGGGGTTCTCAAGTATGTTTTCAGATCAAATAATGTTCTCATTTTTGATTAACTCCCCTCGTATTATACTGGTGTAAATGAGAGCAGAATTAGATCCTTCCTTGCTTGCTAGTCAACACTCCAACCTTATTGTGCATCAGAGAATCTGCACAGCAGAGATGCTCCATAAATGTATTGAGTGTGGGAAAAGCTGTCATGGGAACTCTCCTTTTTCTTCCTTGTGGAATCCCTGCCTCATGGATGATACCAATGTTCTAAATGTAACCTGTATTGGGAGAGAATAAGAGATTGATTACAGGGACAGCATTTCTATAGTTGAGTTCTATCCTGCAAACACCACTCTGGTTCCCATCAGTTGTTCTTCAGATCTCCCTTAATGGAAGATGCCGGGTGCTCAGCACTTCTGAAAATCAGGCTTCTTATTTAAGTACACGAATAATGGGGCCTAATTTTAGGAAAGTCTTATCTTAAATTGTATAGATTATAACATTTCTGTCACCTCATCACAGAATCAACTCTGAGTATAAATCTGTGGTGGTTCTTCTCTTGGGGCATTGCATCATCTGAAGAAATACCTGATGGAAGCCAGGCATTGTGTGTGCACGGGAGGTAGAACACAATTAAGGTGGTGTTTCCTTTTTAACGTTCTCCTTCTCTCCCCCCTGACATGTTAACCGTAGAACACTGTTGTCTGCTTCTCACCTCTTGCACATTCTTGCTCTCTGTTTTTAATATTTTTATAAAAACAGAAGAACTCACAATAGCAAATCACTACTTAAAAATTCCTCAGTGTGTATGTGTGTGCGTGTGTGGAAACATGTCTGCATATCTATGTAAGGGGATTTTGAGTCGCTGTGCTCCTAAGGGCAGCTAATCATCAACAGTGTCCCTCTGCTTTGGCTGCAGTGGGTTTCAATGGCCTAGGTTCTTAGCCACTAACTTGTGGTGCTTCCACCTGACTGTTTACAGTAATCAGGAACCGTACCTTACCTCCCTATGTCATTTCGATTATTCATCACCCAGTACTTACTCTTGTGCCTACTCTGATGTCTCATACATATATTCTTCTGACACCTCTCTAATGGATGAATCAACAATCAAAGTACACTTTACCTACAAGGGGAAATATAGAGGAAACATAAAGGGAAGAGGAAGACTGATTTGGACTGGGTACATCTGTAATACCATACAACTGCCAAGTAACACTATCCCCAGGGTGGATTTCCATAGATTCACAAGTCCACTTTGCTCCATACTAGTGGGCTCTGTAATGTGGAGGAACCACATATCTTGATGAGTCATTCTAGGCCTGAAGGCGCTTGAGTGCGGGGAGGCGATGAGGGTGCCGATTTGCTTAGGGAGCTGGCCTCTCTTCGGCAACAATAGGCATTACTCATTGTGGAGAAAGTCTCCACAACATAGGAGGCCTCCTCAGTGTTTAAATCCAGTTGGTTGCTCCCAGAATAGTTCAACAAACCCCTTTAAGGGTAACATAGGCAACTCCCCCAGACAAAGGAAGAGAGGCAGGAGATTGCCCATCCCCCTTAGGCAGAGCTCTCCTCCTTTCATCCTCCCTCTGATTGGCTCAGTCAGCCTTGTCTGTCATGTCCATTAGTGAGGTGAACACACTGTAGTCTTCCCCGTCTCTCATCTACCCACCAACAAGCTTGGTTCCCTTTTGCATCAGACCCATTAACCCAGGTTACATATATATATAAATAAAATGAAAAATTAGACTTGGAATGAACAAGATGTGCATGAAACTTAAGCAATATCTTGTGATCCTTTGATGTTTTAACGATTACTTGCCCTCTCACCTTTTGTTCATGGTCATCCCTTGCTCTGTTATGTGTGATTTAGGCCCTGATCCTGTAATTAGGTGCATATAGGCAGACTTCTGTACTCACACAGGTTTCCGTTGGCCTCAGCAGGGCTACAAGTGAGTTTGGGAGCTCCCTGCATGTGTTTCATTGCAGAAACAGGATTTAAAATTGTAAACTCAGGGCAGGGAATTGCCGCTTTGTTCGTTCTGTAGAGTGCTGTGCATGCCTATGGTGCAATCTAAACAATAAATAATTATTTGGTACAATCTCCTTCCTTTTCTATAATGTTGTTTGTCTCTTGTTTTCCAGTCATTTTCAGCAAGCAATCAGCAGTCTCATTTTATGGAGGAGTTCCTGACTAAGCAAGTCAACCTGAGATACACCAACAAAGTATGAACGCTAAGGCTTACGTTTGCAAAAGCATCCACTATCTTTCCATGCCTCCATTTTCGTGGCATGCCTGAGACACCTAGGGTCTGATTTTCAGTGGAGCTGAGTACCTGCTTCCCAAAATACTGCCAACAGGAACTGTGGGCATAGCACTCTGAAAAAAACGTCCCAAGGGATTTCAAGTTGGGCATTCAAAAGTAGTGGACAGTCTTTGAAAATGTTGGCCTTACTTGTTATGCAGATTTTTGACTCCTGAATTTTCACGTGGCTTCAGTCTAGTGTCACACGAGCAGTATTATAAGGCTTATACTTTTGAAAACAGGGGACAGATCCTTAGCCTGTATAAATTGATGTGGCTCCATTGATTTGAATGGAGCTACATGAGTTTCCACATGTTAAGGATCTGGCCTCTGATAACTAGAATGTCATATTCTAAACTTGATTACGCTCTCTTTATAGTGCTATTGTAACTTCAAATTTAGTATTCATAAGGCTCTTCATTTTCAGTTTTTACTTTCTTTTTAACTGAAAGATTCCCTGGTTTTATGGAAGCCATTATTAGGTTTTTACTACTACCTGAATTTTGGAATGCCAGAACTCCGAGGACTGCGCCAAGAAGAAGCTGTGGAAAAGGTGGAGGAAGGGAAGACACCATCTTCTCACACTGTCTCCTCTACCTCTTCCACTTCTGTGCCCACTCCAGAAGGAGAGATGGTGGCGCAGTAACCAGGACCAGAGTGGGAAGCTTGGTCAGAAGTACTGGAATGACTTGAGCACTAGTGTATATACTGTTGTCAAATCCCCCCCCCACCCCATATTCATCCATCCTATATGTAAAAGTGGTAATCAGCATTCAAAGCAAATAAGTTAGTGAACTACTTTTTATGCTAAAATGGGTCAAAAATGAAAAACTGTTTACAACTATGTTTCAGAATGTTTTTAAGATTAAAAAAAAAAGGAAAAGAAAAGTGTTATTTACCTAAAAAACTGCAAAGTTAATTTTTTGCATTTTTTAAAATATTTTTGCAATCAACACTGATAAATTCCTGGGAAACTTTAAACAAGATAAAAGCTGAAAATGAAGGGCCTTGCATATTCATTACATCTAGTTGTTGATCAACACATTTTTTGCTTTTAGCTTCTGAAAAAACTCTGTACCAGAGGCTTGTTTTTCCATGTCTACTTGTCCTGGTGAATATCTTATTGCTACTGACCAATGAAAAATGCTTCCAAAGGCAAAAAGCTTTTTGCCTTTGGAATCAACCAGGTGGCATAAAACAGCAGGTATATTAAAAAAACAATCATTGGGGAGATTACCTGCAAAATACTAAATCCACCCCACTCACGGTCAGGACTGCAACTAATGTAAATCAGTATAATACCAATGAAGTCAGTACAGCTATGCTGATTGAGGATTTGGCCCTTTGTGCACAAGTTGAACACTGCTGAATTACCAGGTTACTCAGTTTACTGTAGAAAAAGTGTGAACGTTGCTAACGTAGTGCAGTTAAATGTAAGCTTGGTTGCCAAATATTGTTGTCTCCTTCTATGAGTATGGTCATGAGAGAGCATTTTTATTTAAAAGATGAATGGGTATCGATTTTTCCAGCCTATTAGTCCTCCCTTCTGTGAATATGCACAATCCTGGTATGCAGGCTAAGGAAGCTAATGGTTGTTAAGCTACTGGGAACCTATCGCTGCTACCAAGAACCATCTTGAGGGGTTTTTTCTTCTTAAAGAGACACTGTCAACCTGAAAATCACACTTCTGTCTGATGTTTTACTTGCTATTGTTCCAAATGACACCTTACGTTTTATAAAACGCTAACAGACTAGAGGAGAAACAAATCTCATTTTAGTTGTCCATTTGCCAGCACTTTGTGTATAGTTCTGCTTCCCCTGTTGTTTTTCGTGGTCCTTCCACACAGCAGCAGAGGAGGGCAATGTTTTTAAAAATGGGACAAACTGGTTGCGAAGCCACAAAAATTCAGACAGGCTCAAAGACAGACCTTGTAGCTGAAACTTTTTTTATCACTTTTTAAAACTGACTAGATTTAAACTGACAGTGTCCCTTTAAGCTTGAGTTGCTTGTATGAGACCCATCTCATTGTGACAGCAAACTATTCTAGCATATTTAATGGAAACAATAAATCTGGGGAAGTTCATACATTTCGTGCCATCCTTATCAGGGAGTTTTGTTATGAAGGAGCCGGTAGAGCACCCCAAAGAATTCCCCAGGATGTAATATGCTGATGACTGAGGGAACCAACATTGTAAACCCTTTAAAAGGGCCATCACTTCAGCTTTACAGATAGCAGTGGCGTATGTACTAGGTCATAAATGTTAATGGTGCAGCCGGAGCTAATAAATGACAATATATAAAATGAGGTGACCAAAAAAAAACCCCTTCAAGCTATGTCTGCTGCCTCCTTTGTATAAAATCTGGGATAGATGAATATAGAAACAAAACTTCTCCTGTTCAGTCCCTAAAATTGTCTTCTGAATTAGCATAACGTTTACAGGACTGCATCCCCAATCACTTCTAAAGGTGAATTTATCTCTTATCTGAAAACAGGAATGAGTGTGTATCTTGATCTTATATTATGTACATCATGGCTTTCTGTGGCTGGTGCATTTTAAAAGCTGCAGTCAAAGAATATGAAAATCCTGCCTTTTGTATTTGATAGATAGGATCCTCCTGCAGTATTCCCTCTTGGTTCCTTCAGGTTGAATATCATGCTTAACTGTGCCTGTGAGTAAAGATAGGTAGGGAGTTGTGATTTTAAAAAATGGTGGCCAAGGATCCTGACTGATACAAATGACCTCACTTGGCCTGGCATGCCAACCTCAGCCTTGAGGGTCTGATCCAAACCCTGTTGAAATCAATTGGAGCCTCCCCGTTGACTTCTTTGGGCTTTGATTCTGGGCCTGAAGCAGAAACTGAAGTCCCTGATTCAAAGAAACATCTTTATAATCAAGATTAAAATGTTAAACCTGGATCTTGTGGTCCTCATGAATGCAAATCCCAGTGGCTATAACAAAAGCTATATGAATTCAAGGGCTGCAGGATCAGGCTCTAATTTCTTAGTACTGCTGAAAGTACACAGTGCATCAGTAACTTCACTTGCCACTGAGCAGCCGCTCCCATAGATCTGGTTTTGGGGAAGTGTAGCTAAAACTTTACCACTAGAGGGCACTAATTATCTTCATTACTTTAGCTCTGCAAAACTTTGAAAAAGAGGGAAAATATTCTCCCTTCAAAAGTTTGTCTGTAACAGGATTCAAAAAGATCTAGATAAATTCATGGAGGACAGGTCCATCAATGACTATTAGCCAGGATCGGCTGAGGTGGTGTCACTAGCCTCTCTTTTCAAACAACTGGGAATGGGCAACAGGGGGGAGGGATAGCACAGTGGTTTGAGCATTGGCCTGCTAAACCCAGGGTTGTGAGTTCAATCCTTGAGGGGGCCATTTAGGGATCTGGCGCAAAAATTGGGGATTGGTCCTGCTTTGAGCAGGGGGTTGGACTAGATGACCTCCTGAGGTCCCTTCCAACCCTGATATTCTGTGGTTCCTGAGTAATAACAAGGGGAGAGATCACTTGATGATTACCTGTTCTGTTCATTCCCTCTGAAGCACCTGCCATTGGCAACTGTCAGAAGACAGGAGACTGGGCTTGATGGACCTTTGGTCTGACCCAGTATGGCCGTTCGTATATTCTGACTAGAATTAAAGATTCCCACTTTTATCACTGTAAAGTACTGTATTGTATGGATCCAGCTTTGATTGACAGCATATACTATGCATGCATCCTAGCAAATATTCTGTAATTCCAAGATGTAGTTCTGTTTGTTGTGTTGCTTGGTATTGACATCTGAAAGGCAGTTCAAACACACTAGCTCTAACGCATGCCCACTTATGCATCTGGTTGTTCCATGTTGCTTAGGTTTGGTTGGGATGTTCCTGTGATACTGAGAAATTCAGAAGAAATAGAATCCAGCGTAAGAATATCCAAAAAGCAGATGAGACAAGTGAAGAATCCTTTTGGCCTAGAAATTCCGCATCCTGCTGCAGTTTCCATAACAAGTCAGTGTATTTTTTGGTTAGGTTTTATTGAGTGCCCTTTCCCCACCTATAGCTCCCAGCTCTTACTTTCATGGCCATAACGTGTTCCCTTACACAGTCGCCATAGATATAGCTCTATTGGTGCAGCTTACCGAAACGTTGTGTGTTTCAAAGTGCCACTGTCAATGTTGTGGGGCTCACAAATTAGATTGGGCCCCATGTGGGTGAATTGCAGAGAGGCAGGGGATCTGTGCCCTTCTGCACCAGTTGGGAACAGGGAGCTCAGCTGATAAGCAGCTTTCCACTGGTGCTATTGCAGCTTATGGGCTGCTATAGGAGCCCCTTCATGCCCTTGGCACAAAGTGTTGGGGCAGCTGGATCTATGTAAATGCAATGCCAGGTCCCGGCCCAGCCCCCTTACTCCCAATTTCCTCCCAGAATGGCCTTCCGTATGGCTGTCCACACCAGCCAACGAAGAAAGATATTTGTATGTGCTTGTGATGTAAACCTAAGTGGTGGCTTGCAGTTTGTCTGGGTGTTTTTTTAAAGTGCTGCTTTGTTCAAACATCCAGTACATTCCTGAGCCTCCGCAGAATTCAGGAGATCCTCTCCCAGCCTGTGTCAAAGTCAGGTAGCAAACCTGTAAAACCTTCCTGTAAGCAAATAAAACGCACTGCAGTAATGAGCTCAAGTCTCTTCATCCCTTTTCCCACAACAAGTCTTGGCGTTACAGGGCCAGAATTTCCAGAAGCACCGACAACTCCCGCTCAGGCACCAAAATAATTGATCAGAGTTTCAAAACAGCTCAGCATATTGGGTGTTGGGTGCTTCTGTAAATCTGACCATTATTTGCTGCTTAATGGGAGCTGAGCACCTCTGAAAATCTGTCCCAAGCTGTGGGTGCTGAGTTCTTGAAAGTCTGGCCTACACCTCTTTTTAAAATCTGTCCCTAATGGCTAATTATTGCTGTCTACTGCACTGATAACTAGTGGGGAAAGAAACATGACACATAGTTTTATCCCCACTGTACACACGCAATAGAGCCTGATTCTTCCATAGAGCACAGGAACGTGCTAGGATGCGGGTCTAGTTAAATATCATTTTCCAAACGGCATAGTCTTTGGGGTAAGAGTCATACTCAGCCCCCTAGGAGAGCTAGTACATATAATGCTGTTAGCTGTAAACCTTACCCGGCACGAGGTGCACATGGAACAACAAAAGGTACCTCATGGCCTTCCCCTTTCAAGTGCGCGAAACCCACCCTAATTTAAAAAAAAAATCTGGGTACTGGCATTGCTTTCCCTCTGCTGCATTTAAGGAATTACAGCTGGTAAATTCAGGATTTCTGTATACTAGTGAGCTGATGAAGCTTGCATTGTGTAGGATGCATTTTCTGTCCATGTACTTATATGTTGTTCTCTAAGGGGGTATAACACTGACCCCTGATTGTCTGGAAGACTGTATCCTTACATGCTACTGGGGATGCAGTGTTCAAAAACTACACGAAGCTTTGCAGAAACACGTCTATTGCTTCAGAATAAAGACTCCACAGGCACTAGAAGATGCTCTCTACAGCGAATATATCTATCGACAGCAGTATTTGTATCCTTTTATTTAAAAACAATATTTTGACAAACTATGGTAATTTTCTGGCACGGTGAGAATTGAGCCTCATGAGCAGTCTGCAGCTTTTGGCACCGTGTATTTATGAATGAATAAGATTGAGAATACTCTTAGTGCAAGTGCCACATTTGTCTTCAATTGCAGTGACATCGATTGTTTTCCTTTACACAAATAAAGCATTAAAAAAACCAACAAGGAAGAAAAATACTGTCAGTTGCCAGAAGATGCTCAAATTGCAGGCTTTGGCCCAGTGCCTAGATCTCGTTACCCACTGGTAGCTTTGTTGACTTTAGCTGATGAAGAAGACAGAGAACTATACGACATTGTGAGTAATTTTAGAATGTATAGCAGGGCACTGTACTGATGCTTTTGGATGCTTCAGAATGTACGTTAGGACTGAGAAGAAAGACTGGCTTGCTCTTCGCATGTTGGCCGAAAAGAGAATCTAGCCCTCACCTCTGCACCAATGGTGGCTCCCTAAACAGGGGAACCTGGGTGGTCCTGCTGTGCCTGGGGTAGGGATGAATGTATGTGTGGGCCATTCAGGAAGTGCTCACCCTCTGCACAACACAGAGCTCATATTTGTGAAGGTCTTTGTGTGCTAGCACATTGAAGCAGGGCATGAGGGCTAAGGAAGTGTCAGGTCAGGGTATCAAAAACTGTGGAAATCTTTCTTTTCCCTGCCGCATGAAGGTGCTGTGGAGCCTTTGATTTGGTTTAGCCTTTGTAACTTCTGTGGGTCAAGAAGAGGGATTCACCCCAGTACCTGGCAGAACTATTTGGACTGATCTCTGGGGAGAGGATTAAGACTGTAAGAATTGCCATACCAGATCAGACCCGTTGTTCATCTTGTCCAGTATTATGTCCCTGACAATTGCAACATTGGATGTTTCAGAGAAAGTTGTGAAAATCCCACAGTACATGGATACTCAGTAATCTACTCCCCATGAAGATCTTCTCCTAATCCCTAATAGTTAGAGATTAGCTTAAATGTTGAAGCAAGAGGTTTAATATCCCTTCCAAAACTTTTTTTTTCCACAGAGGAATTGATTCTAGTTTCTGAGTGTCCAATGTGCAATATGTATATTTATTCAGTGTCTTTCTGAGTTTAAATGTTATACTTTGTTCCAATAGCTTTAGGTGCATGAACACTAATGTATATTGAGGCATACACATTTGAAGGCAAACTCCCCAATCCGCTTGACCTTCTCCACATACTAATATAGAAATCAGTCATGGGCAAAATAATACCCAGGAGAACTTACATATTACCTTTTCCAACTCTTTCTATGCCTCAGCTTCCTGCCACCCCACCATAAAGGCCTCAAAAGAACAATGTATCCAGCTCCTCCCCCAATCAGTACAGCCGAGTATGCTTATAATTCAGTTTAGTTTAATAAAGATAAAATGTAGATTTAACAAACTTGCAAGAAGGTTTCTTAAATTAACATGAGAAAGATGGATTGTTTAACATGACATTTTTTGCATCACTTACCATGGGGGGAAACCCACTTTCTTTTCTTTTCTTTTCTTTTCTTTTCTTTTCTTTTTTCCTTTTGTAGAAGTTTTTCTTCCTGATTCTTGTCATTGTCAAACACCCTTCAACTGGCCAAAGCAGCAGAAGCAGAATCCACTTGTACATTAAAAGCAGAAACAGATTCTAGACTTTTTCATGGTCTAAATGGAAGGATTAACTCTAACTTTGTTGCAAAACTTCAAAAATATAACCACTAAATGAAAATGGTAAATGCTGAAATATTCTTAATCAAAAACATTTTTGATATGTAAAAATCTTAAGGAAACAATTATATATTTAAGTCTTACAATAGATCCAAGGTAAACCTCTGGTATATTCCCCTGCAAACACATGCTTGTTTTTTTTTAATAGCTGTCACACAACTGGCATTTGTTGGTACATAAATAATGTGTGTTTTTTTTAATTGAGCATGGGATTGTAGGAATCATGAGTTTTCATGCCTCAAAGGTCTCATCTATGTGGAGAAAATTAAATGTATTTATCAGAAATGTCAGCTAATACATTTAAAATATGTTTATTATTTAAAACACCACCAAATGTTTAAAAGACCACCAAAGACCACAGTGAGTTGACCATGACCTGACCCAATTTTGAATGCCACTGATATTGTCTACAATAGTTTAATTTATAATAGGTAGTGTTAATTTAAACACATTAGTTAATATGTTCTCAGTGTAGACAAGATCCAGGAGGGAGAATCCTATATAACGATGATACAGCTTGTAATTCCTGTGCTGTTACACTTTATTACTTACCAAGTCCTGGTGTGTAGCAATGGCCTGAAATTCATAGAATCATAGGCAGGGTGGGGACCTTGAGGGGCATCTAGCCTAGTCCCCTGCACTCATGGTAGTACTAAGTATTATCTAGACCATCTCTGACAGGTGGTTGTCTAATATACTCTTAAAAATCTCCAATGGTGGAGATTCCATAACCTCCCTAGGCAATTTATTCCAGTGTCTAACTACCCTGATAGGAAGTTTTTTCTGATGTCCAGTCTAAATCGCCCTTACTGTAATTTAAGCCCGTTGCTTCTTGTCCTATCCTCAGTGTTTAAGGAGAACAATTTTTCTCCCTCCTCCTTGTAACAATCTTTTATGTACTTGAAAACTGTTATCGTGTCTTCTCCAGATTAACAAACCCAGTTTTTTCAGTCTTCCCTCATAGGTCATGTTTTTTAGACCTCTAATCATTTCTGTTACTCTTCTGTGGACTTTCTCCAATTTGTTCACATCTTTCCTGAAATGTGGTGTCCAGAACTGGACACAATAACTCCAGTTGAGGCGCAGAGTAGAGCGGAAGAATTACTTCTCATGTCTTGCTTACAACACTCCAGCTAATACATCCCAGAATGATGTTCGCTTTTTTTTTTTTTGGCAACAGTGTTATACCACTCTTGGCACATCTTTTCCCGTAATCTTGTGGCATGGTGTTATTCTTTGGTCACTATCCTATGTCAAGCATTTCTTAAGCCTCTGGCGTAGTATGGCTAAGCTGACATTTTATAGGCCTCAGCCTGTAGGCTTTGCATTTCAATCCTACTTACTTAGGTACCTAATACATACTTATCCCTTCTGACTACTGGTCAACTTTATACTTCGATAATTCTACACTTAAATCTATTCAACATACAATGACTAGAAATGACGTGACATGTTAGTTAATCAGAATATCACACAATAAATAAACGATAAATAACAATGAGGGCAGGGGAATCATACAGAGCAGTCTGGATTGTTTGGTAAGCTCAGCCCATTCAAACAAAATGTGTTTAAATACAGCCACATGCAAAGTCTTACATCAACAGATAAGGAGTGCAGCTCATGCCTAGTGGAAAGCAGTGACTCTGAAAAGGATTTAGGGTTTACAGTGGGTAAGCAACTTAACATGAGCTCCCAGAGCCATGCCATGACAAGACAGACTAATGCGATCCTTGGATGTATAAACACGGGAGTAGTGAATTACGCGTAAGTTGATGATTTTTACCTCTGTATACTGCATTGGTGAGACCAATAACTGTGTCCACGTTTTAAAAAGGAAGTTGAAAAATTGGAGAGGGTGCAGAAAAGAGCCACAGGAATGATTTGAGATCTGGAGAAAATGCATTTGAGAGAGGCTTAAAGAGCTCAATCTTTCTGATAAAATGAAACTGACTGAGAGTTGGTTTGATTACAGTGTGTGAGTACTGAGTGGGGAGAAAAATACCAAGGGTTAAAATGCTCTTAATGTAGTGGAGAAAGCAGAACAAGAACCAATGTCTAGAAAACTGAAGCCAGAGAAATTTAAATTAGAAATTAAGTACAAAAGTTAAGGTGATTGTTAAATCCACTAAGGGGAGTGGTGGATTTTCTATATCTTAACATCTTCAAGACTGGTTGCCTTTCTGGAAAATATGATTAAGCCAAATGCACATTATGCTTTAGTCAAACAAATTATTGGGCTCAATAACTAGGTGAAATTTAACAGCCTGTAGTATCCAGGAAGTCAGATCTAATGGTCCCTTCTAGTCTTAAACTCTGTGAATCTATATACATTGCTGCTTCTCCTGGTTTTTTTAGCAGCTTCTGGAACATGGAGGATAGTGAGAACCCTAACAGTACGTCTACACTGCAGTTAGACACCCACTGCTGGCCCGTGCCAGCTGACTCAGGCTCGCGGGACTTGGGCTGTGGAGCTGTTTCATTGCAGTGTAGACTTCTGGGCTCAGACTGCAGCCTCAGCTCTGGGACCCTGCCACCTCACAGGGTCCTTGGACTCAGGCTGGAGGCCAGGCTTTAGGACCCTGCAAGGTGGGAGGGTCCCAGAGGTGAGGCTGCAGTCAGAGCCCGGAAGTCTACACTGCAGTGAAACAGCCCTACAGCCCAAGTCCCTCGAGCCTGAGTCAGCTGACGTGGGCCAGCTATAGATTTTTAATTGCAGTGTATAGATACCCATAGAGGGGTTGCAAACTGTTTTAAGGGATACTACCCAATATATTCTATTGTTCTATTATATATTTTTTTCTTGTGAACTAAAACATAGCTTTGGGAGTTTTGATAATGCAGCTGTAGACCAGGTCCCATTTATTAAGCGGGGATCTATGTAATAATCATTGCTTATTGCAAATCGACACAGTGTAATTGCACGAATAGAACTGGGACTGTTGGCTCTTAAATTATTGTTATCTAATACCAAATCTGTCATTCTGAGAATTAGGGGCATCTTGATGCCAAAACTAAACAAATGGATCACTATTAAGATGTAAAATGTACTGTGATTAAAAAATGAGGCTCTAGTTGGCCCTGGGGGATAGTAAATGTAATTAGTATAAATACATATGTTTAATTCATTTAATCTCTGCATGCTTTATATTTGCATTAGCTAACTAGAGGTATCCTAAGTGCATGTCTGATCCCCAAGCTTGTTAAATAACTTCAAACAAAAAACATCTTATAGATTCCTTTTTCTTCCGAGAGCCTTGGAATTTGCAATTATATTGGGCTTCTCTCTCTTCTTTACAATCAGTTATGGTTGGTTGGTTGGCTGGTTGTTTTCTTGGCTCGAAAACAATACATAAGCATAAAATACTATTATTGTCAGCAAAGTGACTGTAAAAATCATTCTGTGGTTCCATATCTTGTCCTTCTCAGTGACTTTTATGTCCAGTATTTGCTCTGTTTACAGGCTGAATGATGATACCTCTAAGTGCCGTCTGGAATCTGAAAACCAACATCTAAGTGTTTTGTGGTAGCAGGGAGAACACAAATAGGAAAGTGTCAGTGGAGGTGTTCTCCCTGTACATCATCAGTAACAGACATTCTGCAATCAGAACTTAGCTGAAAGGTTGCTGCTATTGTCCAGGGCAGGATAGAATCCAGCCACAGAAGAGAAAGTCGTATTGGACTTGTACTATATACGGTTCTTTAAGGCCAGATTGTGATTGGCTTTTACTGGGTACTCAAGGAGTTTCCCTCCCTCTCCCCCTCTTTGTGTGCCACTGTGCAAGAGCCAGTCACAATTTCAGTCATGCTCTCTCTGGATGAAATTCATTGCTGTGCAGAGGTCCAGCATGGGGCACATACAATAGTAAATAGTAATGTATTATCCTAGCATCTAGGAGCTCTAGTCATGGACCAAGACCCCATTGTGCTAGGTGCTGTACAGACACAGAACTTAAAGACAGCCTCTGTCCCAAAGGGGTTATAATCATCACTTAAGTCCCGAGTTAAGCAAGGTATTTAAGAAAAGGAGTACTTGTGGCACTTTAGAGACTAACCAATTTATTTGAGCATAAGCTTTCGTGAGCTACAGCTCACACAAAAGCTCATGCTCAAATAAATTGATTAGTCTCTAAGGTGCCACAAGTACTCCTTCTCTTTTTGCGAATACAGACTAACACGGCTGTTACTCTGAAAGGTATTTAAGCATTTGCCTACCTTTGACTACGTGTGCTTAAGTGTTTTTCTGGTTGGGGCCCAAGTCCATTAGCTGGGAGCAGTAGTAGGATAATCTCTGTGGATTAGCCACAGAAGAAGTTACGCAGCACAGAGTGGCTGTAGAATCTGATGCTTGGATTGGTCTGTTTGATCACATGTTCAACAGCTATATGGGACAGTACCGTAAGCAGCCCTTAGAAACAAGACAAACAGGCTATGAAGAGAAATAAACTGAACCATATACTTGTTTTACCTTGTCTAATCTCTTAATAGACTCCCTGTTATTTGTATGTGATGTGCATGTCACTGCATGTATATAAATCAACAAGCCATACACATGAAAGGGGAGAGTGCTAAAGAAAACTTCTGTTTTTAGATTTCAATGGTGTCCGTAATTCATATTCCCGATGAGAGTTACAGACTTTCCTGCAGAATATTATATCAGTATCTACTTCTGGCCCAAGGTCAATTCCATGACCTTAAGGTAAGCTGTGTTCTGAGTCTTACTTCACTCTGACTACAATATTCATTTCGTTTGTGTAGACTACAGTTACCCTAAATTGGTACAGTATCTGGCTTTTTCAGTCTGTTATTATGCAAGGAACTGGATGATGGTTAAATTTATCTTGTCACTAAATTAGTTCCATGCAGACTTACAATGCAACCTACGTTCGTATCTGGAAATATCTGAACTCTCCTACAGAAATCCCTTATTGTTATATATTTATATTCCAGGCAACCCCAGGCCCTCCTGATTTATCAAAGTGGCAGTAACAGATAGATAGGAATAATAGCTGCAAATATTATAGAGTATTCAGAATGGGCCTGATGCAAAGCCCATTGAAGTCAATGAAAGTGCTTCTGTTGACTTCCATGACTTTGGATCAGGCCCAGTGAGCAGCATAAATTCAGTATGCTGAAAGCAAACATAAGTTGTTATGATCACTTCTAAAGCCTTTGTTTTTATAGTATAACAGTAAAATATAATATACTTAATACACAGATAATGTCTATACAGTATCCATGAATTATAAAGAATGGGCCAAATTCATTCCTTGATGGAACTCAGTTGACTTGAAGTTTAAGCCACGAATAGATTTGTCTCAATAAGTCCAGCAATTTGTGTGGTAGATATTTGCTTCACATAACCCACCCTAAAAAATTCCCATATGCTTTATGTGGGGGAATTGTTACCGCATCAAACATACTGTTGGCAATAAACAATAATGGATCTGCATAATTGCTACAATTTTGAATTGTATGTACAAATGTGTGTTTATATACACAGATATACACTCTCTGTGTATATGCAAAAAGAAAAGGAGTACTAGTGGCACCGTAGAGACTAACAAATTTATTTGAGCGTAAGCTTTCATGAGCTACAGCTCACTTCATCGGATGCATTCAGTGGAAAATACAGTGAGGAGATTTATATACACACAGAACATGAAAAAATGGGTGTTATCGTACACACTGTAATGAGAGTGATAACTTAAGATGAGCTGTTACCAGCAGGAGAGCGGGGGTCTCTAAGGTGCCACTAGTACTCCTTTTCTTTTTGTGAATACAGACTAACATGGCTGCTACTCTGAAATCTGGTGTATATGGTATCCCAACTGCTTTTTTAAATAGAATATAAGAGCAGGTTTCCATGCAGATAAGTCAATAGCCAGATATCTTCAAAAAGTTCTATTTCCCCTTGCAATTGAACACTTTAGGAAGTTTAATGTAGACTTCAGTGTTACTCATTCTCTTAATGAGTCAGGTGTTCCTTTTCCAGTGCCTAGGAATTATATCTTTGACATATGTCAGTAATGCTGTTGTTTTACACACAATGTTTATATAACATCATAAGTGTTAGGTAGTTCTTCGTAAACACAGATCCTTTGCAAACATGAAAGACTCATTCCCCTGCCCTGAAGAACTTGCAGTCTAGATAAAATAAGACAGGAAAGCACAAGAGATGATAAAATGTGGTGGATTTGAAGGCAGAGAGAGTATGTGCTTGGTAGAAGAGGTTAGGGACATAACTCCAGGCCTATGGAACCGCATGCTAGAAAGTACAAAGCCTTGACCAGAACTTCATCCATTGTAAACCTGTATAGCTCCACTGAAGTCAATGAAGTATGCTGATTTGTGGCAGCTGGGGATCTGGTCCCTTATCTCTAATTTTCCCCTTAGTGTTTCTGCACCTCTTTATCTTCCCCAAATATCCATAACTGAAGTCAAGGGAGTTGTGTCCCGTCACTCCAAGGCTGAATTTGAACTTGTGTTGAACTTAATAGGAAGCATGTGTGTAGAGAGAAGAAAGGCCCCATTAGTTCGCCTTTGATCTATTGTAGATCACATTAGAATATAAAGACAATGTGCAGTTACTGAATTCTGCTGAAACTTGTTTGTGTGTGTTTTGTCCATAGCAACTCTTTATGTCTGCAAGCAGCAGTGCCCCGCCCTCGAGCAATGCCTCTGGAGACAGCAGCACTGACAAAAGCTTGCTGGAAAAGGTTGGACTGGCCGAAGTTGAATCAGAATTACATGAGGAAAACAGTAAAGACTGTGTCGTCTGCCAGAATGGAACAGTGAACTGGGTCCTCCTGCCTTGCAGGCATACGTGTCTGTGCGATGGGTGTGTGAAATATTTTCAACAGTGTCCAATGTGTAGGCAGTTTGTTCAAGAATCTTTTCCACTTTGCAGTAAAAAGGAGCAAGATAAAAATGAACCCGAACACAGTTTCCAGGATGCTCCCCACGGAGCAGACTTATAGTGGAAAACCAAGAATGATCAAGTTGTACTCTCAAATGCGTGATGTAGAGCCTAAAGCATTTTCTGTCCATGGAAAGATCTGCAGTGTAACTTTATAGTTTTGCTGGTAGTTACTAGACCAATTTAAGCATCCTTTTCACATCCATACTGCATACAATTGCTAGAACACTGCATATACACTGGTAATATGGACAGAAGAAGTCTGTAGGAGATGTATGAGGAATGAGTTTTTTGATAACTGCTTACTGGATGTTCATGAAGTATTAGAGATTATTTTGACACATAGATTTAGGTGAGCTAAACATTAAAAAGAAAAGAACAAAGGCTTACATATAACTGAAACTGAAAAATACTTTTCATATATATATATATGAATATATATATATATAGGCTTTTAAATGTGAAGTTAGAAGAAAATATAATTTTAATCCTGTATACTTTAGATATTTAGCACTTTAAAGAATGAAAAATGAAGGAAACCAAATATTTAAGAATCTGTTCTTAGTTTGGGTATAAATCAGTATGTATTTATTTTGTATCTGATGGACTTGGCCATGGAAAGTGCTGGGCTGCTCAACTCCTGTTCAAGTTACTGGGAGTTAAGGATATTCAAGTCATTAGTGGGTCTGGACCTCTTGTAATTGTATTTTGTTTCTACTGCTTTGGAAGAGATTTTCTGTGTGTACGGGGCCTGATCCAAAGCCCCTTGAAGTGATTGGAAATATTCCCATTGATGTTAGTGAGTTTTAGTTCAGGCCCCTACTGACTATTAAGCAAATAGAACATCTAAGTGTGCCCACTGTGTATAGAGTTTCATACTGCACTTATAGGACTTTAATTCTTGCTAGTGTGACAGCTATGGATGATGAAGGGCTAACTTTTGCAAGGAGAAGAGACTAATTATTTTGCAGATGACATTAGTTTGGCAGCATGTCATGTTCCATAACATGGACAGCCTAGTGTGTGGGGTTGCCATCTCTCCCATATCTTTCATTACCTCTGCGTGGATGAGAACAGGCTAATCATATCACTTCCCTCATATCACTAGTAAGAAAAAGAGCTGAAAGACAGCAGAAAACACAGTTGTCTTCTTTCAAAAAGTAAAATAAAATAAAAATAAAAATGGGTGTTGAGAAGAGAAATGATTCTGTTCACTTCTTAATACAGGAAGGGGCTAATGTAATTCAGGGTGATGTAACTTCTAGGCCAAGACTTCTCATCTGGTGGGATGAGACACCAAAGTAAAAATAGCAAACTCCCACCCTCACAAGGGAGACAGGGGCTTGGAGAGAAGGAGCCATTTGCTCCCTCCTCCTTGTTCTGCCACTGCTCCACCAGCCGCTCCATTCTCAGAGCAGTTTCTCAGGCCTCCCCCTTCCCTCCACACAGCACTCACTCTGTGGAGAGAAAGCATGGCTTCAAGAGGCATCTCCCACAGCCTCTTCTACCGGTGCTGCCCTGGAGCTGAGCACTGTGCGCAGAAGGAATCCCCAATCCAGAGCCCTAAATTATCTGCAGTTTCTTGCCATGACTCCAAATGCAAAAACCTTCATGATCGGAATGGATTATGGGTGCTGGAAAGTCATGCCAAGAAGCCATGGGTGGTCTTCGGGAGGAAGGGGGGTGTTTGAGAGACAATGCACTAGGCCACCAGTGATTTATTAGGAAGTGGCATGGTTTATTAAAGTGAGTATTGGGATTGCCTCTAGAATTCTAATCTCAGCTCCCCCCTCACTCCCTTGGTAACTTTAAGGGAGCATCACTTGCACCATGTATCAAACAGAGATAACAGCCATGGGTGTTGTGAGGATTGAATAATGTTTGCAAAGAGCTTGCAAAGTAGAAAGTAGAGTTTGAAAGTAGAAAGTGCTGGCTGGATGCTAAGTATTATTATTTCTAATTTAACTGTGTATTGAGTATGAGAACATCCCTCACCACACAGGTGCACTCCCAGAGACAAAGTTGCAGTGTCTCAGAGCCACTTGTCTGCGATTCCCTGAGCAGGGTTAGCCCCTTTGAACATTGAGTCTCCTGTGCCCTGCATTACAGATGCTCTCAGAAGCAGTGATGACGTGATCTTATGCAGTCTCTGGCCAGATGATGGCCACCCACCAGGGTTTTACATCGATCAGACCAGAGCATATTTTAAAGTGGTAATAGTTCAGCATTTACAGATAATCACAGATGGCTGATATGGTAATACATAATGAGAAAGCGCCCCAAGCTCTCAAGTAATGGACATCATAAATCCTATGGGCCCCATGTTCCTTTCTATTATACAGCCTACGGGGGAGTAAAAGGGATGGAATGATGGCATTAACCTCATGGAAAGGAAGGAGTAGAACTACGCGGCATGTTCCCCCACTTCACTGAGTCTGCAGGTGGCCGCCTGAATCTGCTTCACGAAGCTGGGACTGTGCAGTTTTCAGGCATGGAGCAGTGGCTGTCCCCAGCATGTTCCCCTCTAGACCCCACAGATTCTTGAGTGGAATTTCACAGCACAGTTAATGAGGGATTCCCCCAGCATCACTCTACTTTGCAGCTGCCACTACCCAATGTCATCCTGGTTCCTGATACTGTTTTGTGGTCAGGAGTCTGGGGGCCTGCAGAACAACATAGCTGGGTGGACTCTTTATTCGGAAGTCCCAAGATTCCCAGGACTAGCCCCTGATTTTCCTGGAACTCAGTGCAATTTGGGGATTTTCCCCTCCAGCCTGTTCCAGGAAACCATTTTGCTCAAGAGGCCCCTAGACACCTGCCCCTTCAGACAGTTTAACTTCATTTTCCCGTGTCCACTGGCTTTTTTCATGGGCATGTAGTACCAGGCCATATAACATTAGGGGCTGGATCTCCCAAAGTCCTCAGCAATGTGGACTAACTGCTCCCATTGAAGCTAATGATAAATCTCTCTGTGACTTCAATGAGAGCAGAGTTCGGCTACCACTGAGCACTTGAGGAAATCCCATCCCAGATACCTATTTCTGGCATGAGCCGAAGTGGCGCGTTTCAAAGCAGTTACAGAAACAGTTTGAACCAAACTCTTCCTCTGTCCATGATGACATTTCATGTCCTTCTACAAGTCCCACTTGTTTCTGAACAGAAAGAAGTTTCTGAAACCCACTTTCCTGATTTGAGAGCTGTTCCTTTCAGCCTCGGGATGAGGTCAGAGCTCTGAAATGCCACTGGGTTTGCAGCTGGGGTTTCTCCCTATTAAGTATTTTGACTGGACTTCCTCTGACTGGTGAAGGAACATCTGTGTCTACCTCAGACAAGAATAACACACAGGGATATTTCCCAGTTACCTCCCACTCTGTTCAAGTCTCATCATTGTGACAAGGATCTTGGTCTACCAAATTGAATATCTTCACAAGAAGTTTTAGGGGGTAGCCATGTTAGTCTGTATCCACAAAAACAACAAGGAGTCCCGTGGCACCTTAAAGACTAACAGATTTATTTGGGCATAAGCTTTTTGGACATGCATCTGAAGAAGTGGGTTTTTTTACCCACAAAAGCTTATGTCCAAATAAATCTGTTAGTTTTTAAGGTGCCACCGGACTCCTTGTTTTTTTCACAAGAAGTGTTTCTCCTCAGCCCCTTACCGCCTGATTATACCGGTAGTTTTTCTTCCTTGATTCAGGGGCTATTTATTTATTTATTTTACAGGCGCATCTAGAGACACCAGCTGAGATCTGGCCCCATTGTGCTGCGTGCTGTGAATACACATAACCAGCTCGGAACAGCTAGCAATCTACATAGACAAATACAAATACAGGTGTAGAGAGGTGAGCTGATTTGCTTAAGGACGCATAGTAGGTCAGTACCATGGGCGGCGGGTGACCTGCTGGCTCAGGGAGGCTAGCCCCCTCCCCTCCCTTTGGCTGCAAGCCTCTCCCCCCGGCTCGCCAGGCTGGGTGATGTCCGGCCCCCGGCCCCAGAGTGCCAGAGAAGCAGCACACAGCCCCCCCAGTCCCCAAGCACCAGGCGGGCAGCACACGGCCCCCCAAGCGCTGGGTGGGTGGTGCACAGCCCCCACCCCTAGCACAGAGTGGGCAGCCCCAGCGTCCGGGGGCCCCTCAGCATTTGGAGGCCCCAGCAACCCCAAGTCCCAGCCACAGGCCAGCCACGGCCTCCCTAACGTGGCCCCAGCCCCAGCACGCTTCCCTGAAGACGAGTGACCAGCCTGCCTGGGCTGGGGCCAAAAGGGAAGGGCATTAGGGCAAGCAGGAGGGGGCCTTCCGGGCAGAGCATGGGCCGGGCCACACCAGGCTCTTTGGGGAGGCACGGCCTTCACCTACCTATGCTATGTGCCGCCCATGGTCAGTACCAGCTCTTGGAGGAGAACCCAGGCATCCTGAGTCCCACTCTAGTGCCCTGTACATCAGACCACACATGAGCGATTCCTCCCTGCAGTATAAGGGCTGGTTTACACAGTGTTTTTGTATTACTTTAACTTTGTCACTTTACAAATCAGTATAGTTAAAACTATAACCCCCTCTAGAGAATGCAGTTATACCAGTGTACAAGTGCTTATACCCTTATAGCTTATTCTTCTTCAAGTGCTTGCACATGTCCAACGGATACCACTAAGGGAAACATCTCCGACAGCTGTGCTCAGGGCGCTCGCACACCTAAATCAGAATGGACACGTGCAACACATCTCAAAGAACATGTTACAAAAGTAGGTAACCGTTTGTTCCTGAACATTTATGGGAATAATCTATGCTACTGTAGGCACCTTTACAGCGACATAACTGCATCCACACTAAGGAGGGGGTTGTAGTACTTTAATTAGGTCAGTTTCTAAACAGATACAGATAAAGCTGTCTATTAACAAGTCCTAAGACTGGCTGATGCCTTACAACTCAGGCTGAGAATTTAAAATGAAGTAATCGCCAGCCATGGCTTTTCCGATTAGATTGATCAAACGTGTCCTGTTTATAATGCCTTCAGCCTTTTACTTTCCTCGAGAAGATGGTCAAGAATATAGTTAGGGGGAAAAAAACAAACAACTTAATGGATATATAACAACAACCCCTGTGCTGCCCAGGGAGGAGAAATGTCCCCATTTATTTTGAATACATGTGGAAGGCCATCAGACATCCTATCATTGGCCGGCATCCTACCCCATCATCTGTCAGCCACAGTGAGTGGATAACCCAGGCTTTGGTTCCATGGGCTTGTTTCTGTGTATTTCCATCTGGTGCAAGGAATGTGCCATGGAGAGTAGCTGAGGGACAGCTGAGTTTGGGTATTGGAGAGGCAGCATTTACCATGAATGGGGGTGTATAAATACGTTACTGTTTATGACCTATCCGTAGGGCGAACAACATGTGATGCACGATTTGAGCTGAACGCATGGGTACCAATGTAGGCAGCCCTCGGAGGCTTACACATGTGAGCATCAGGTCTTATTTGTGAGGCAATCCAGCAGGGCATTGCCCAGTTTGCTGTTTGTACTGAGCTTCTGGGCCTGTTGTCAAGCAGAAGTGCCAGCCACCACTTATGCAGCTCTGTTGAGGAGTAACAGAAAAACAGCAAAGAGTGCAAAGAGACTTTATTCTTGGCAATATTCTTGAAACAGGAGTGAGTCCTAATTTAATATATCCAGCTTCGCTACAGACTCTGTGAGAGGTCCCTGCAGAACAGGATTTAACAATCTTGACTCTATCTCCCATCTGCATGCTGCTTCCTAAGCATAAAGTGGCCTTCTTATCCCAGTTACTAATCTAGTTAATCTGTTCACAGCCAAGACCCTCTTTAACCCTCACTTCTACCAGACATTCATGAAACAGAAAAATGTCACTCAAAATTATTTGTTCCTCTGGGCTCCTCAGTGAGTCTTGTCTTCTTATTTCCATTGGGTCACATTCGGACACTTAGCCTGCTCCTCTGTGCAGACCTACGCAAACCATAAGTAGAACTGGTTGAAAACTAAAAACTAGTTTTACAACAAAAGTTTCAAATTTCAACAATGATTTAATTTGAAAGGATTCAGAATAGACAAATTATTCACATATTTGAAATTTTGCAGGGATTTCTTTTAATCAAACTTTTTTCCACATTTTTTTATCAAAATGGTGTTTGGCATTTTTTCAGGACCTGAGCCCAGTTTTTATTAAACAATCAAACAAACAAACTCCCCAATAACCAGTTGAAGAATATTTTTGAATAAAATATACAAACATTTTCACACAAAATGAAAATTTTGGACAATGTTAACAATTTATCATGAAAAAAAATCCTTTTTTGAAAAAAAGGGGAACGCAACACATAATTAGACTGTGGAACTCACTGCCACAATATCCCATTGAGGCCAAGAACTTAACAGGATTCAAAAAGACTGGATAATTATATGAATATCAAGAATATCCAGTTATAATAATTCATGATAACACAGATTTTGGAAGGTGTATTAAGCCTCCTGCTTCAGGACTTAAGACAATATCTATTAAAGAGCTGAAGAACCTGAGTGGAGGACAGGTTATCTCACAACTTCTGATGCATCTGCTGTTGACTGCCATCAGAGACCAGCAACTGGATAGGTTATGTGAGTGATCCAGTCTGGGAGCTCCTATGGAATTTCCCCCTTAGATTATAACCACTTTGCAGCAGGGATGGCCTTCGTTCTCTGTCTCGTACAGTGCCAAGCACGTTACCAGCATTTAACTAATAATTAATTAAGAAAGCACTGATTGTGCTTGGTGCCACCCTCATTTGTTTACCAAGATCTAGTGGGCCAAGCTTCCCAAGAGAATTGCTGGCACAAAAGGGCTGTTACATGAGTGATTTCCCAGCCTGTGCAGATTTCTCAGCCCTTTGGGAACAGCTGGGCCCAAAGCCTCAAGCATTCAGTTGAACAGTGCCTCAGGAGAGATCAGCGTCTTGTTTCACCAAGCCCATCTGCCTGCAGCATACCCACATTCAGCTCCGACTCCTCAGACAAACTGCTGTCACTACCAGCAGAGCTGACTGGAGATGTTTTGAAAAATCAGACTACTATGTGTAAACATGATGAGAGGATATGGGAGAAGCCATCTTGCCACCAGGCACATACGGTGCAGGCCTATGCACGAAGGCCCCAATTCTGCAAACACTCATGCATGTGCTTGACTTTAATGGGTCTCCTCAGCTGGGTACAGTTAAGCGCGTGCAAAAGTGTTGGCACACTTGGGGCCCACACTTGTGTTTAAATGTAGGGGGACAGTTGAAGTTGGAAGCTCAAAATATGACACCCGCCCTCTTTAAATAAATGTATCAGAGCCCATTTTTCCTTAGCTCCTCTTAATCAGGGATTGCGCAGATCACCATGTTAGACAGCTGTCCAGAACATTTTTGTGAGGGGTGTTTTGTATGACCGGTAGGTCTATTCATTTTGTTTAAGCATCAGTAGCCCAGTTCTCATGAGCAACCTTATACCAATGAATTACCATGGGCTTATGGCAGAGACAAACATTCCGTGAAAGGCTGGAACTCTCATTCATTCACTATAGATGTGTGATGGTCCATGAGGCAGGGGTTAACAAAACAACCACTTGACAATGATTTGGGAATAGGTGAATTATGACCACAGCCTATCCTGCTGACAACTACTGCCTCACCATCTCCATGTGCTCCCTCTCTTTGGTGCATTTGCTTGTCATCTCTTGTCTGATATTAGATTGCAAGCGTGTCAGAGCAGGGACTGTTTTTTTGTTCTGTGTTTGTACAGCGCCCAGCACCAGGAGGCCTTGATGCACGGTTGAGGCGTGTAGGTACTGCCAGAACAGAAATAATAATAATCATTAATAATAGAAAAATAATTCACTGCCTCATTCACTGTGGATTTGGAGGGATTGCAGGCTATGAATATGGGCCGCACATTGAACGATGAGGATAAAAATAAATCATGAACGGCTATCTCATCCAACTTGTGCACTGAGAGTGAAATTTAGCCCTGTTCAGAGAATAAGAATAAGGCTCATCCACCTCTGAAACTTAAATCATCAAAAAATAAGGCTTCCAGAGGACTTAAGTAGGGCCCAGACCTTTTGTCGACTCTCTCCATAGGGTTGAATTTCACCCGTAATGAGACAGGAATCCTTCAGGAAAAAATAGCTTGTGATCATGTTAAGGACTGTGTCATAATGCACAATGGGGAGGCGTTAAGGTTGTTTTTTCTGACTTTGTGGGCTTGACTTTGCAAGTTTATGATTCTTTTACTGTAGTTCTTTGGTATAGATTTTTGTATGGAGTATATATTTTAATTTCAGAATACAAAGTGGTTTAAACAGAAAGCCCTGGCATTTGGTTGACTGTTCCCTGTCCACCATTCCAGTAGTGAAGGCAGGAGGTTCTGTAGTTCATTATTTTATTATGCAGATACTAATGTTGTTATTAATGTTGGGTTTTAGTGAGATCAGACCTGGGTTCTGATGTGATGGACACCATGGTACACGTCTACGTACATAGATATGCTGTCACATAGTGTTATCTGAGGTGAGCAATGGTTTCCATTTAACTCATATTAGAAATTTTTTCCTACTATCTGGGCATATTAGGCACATAAATACCTTTGAAAATCTGGGCCAAATCTGAAAATCTGAAGCAAATACTCACCAACAACCACATACCACACAACAGAACCACTAACCCAGGAACTTATCCTTGCAACAAAGCCCGTTGCCAATTGTGCCCACATATCTATTCAGGGGACACCATCACAGGGCCTAATAACATCAGCCACACTATCAGAGGCTCGTTCACCTGCACATCCACCAATGTGATATATGCCATCATGTGCCAGCAATGCCCCTCTGCCATGTACATTGGTCAAACTGGACAGTCTCTACGTAAAAGAATAAATGGACACAAATCAGATGTCAAGAATTATAACATTCATAAACCAGTCGGAGAACACTTCAATCTCTCTGGTCACGCAATCACAGACATGAAGGTCGCTATCTTAAAACAAAAAAACTTCAAATCCAGACTCCAGCGAGAAACTGCTGAATTGGAATTCATTTGCAAATTGGATACTATTAATTTAGGCTTAAATAGAGACTGGGAGTGGCTAAGTCATTATGCAAGGTAGCCTGTTTCCTCTTGTTTTTTCCTACCCCCCCTCCCCAGATGTTCTGGTTTAACTTGGATTTAAACTTGGAGAGTGGTCAGTTTAGATGAGCTATTACCAGCAGGAGAGTGAGTTTGTGTGTGTATGGGGGTGGGGGGGATGTGAGAAAACCTGGATTTGTGCAGGAAATAGCCCGACTTGACTATGTAAAGAGTTGTCACTTTGGATGGGCTAGCACCAGCAGGAGAGTGAATTTGTGTGGGGGGTGGAGGGTGAGAAAACCTGGATTTGTGCTGGAAATGGCCCACCTGTTGATCACTTTAGATAAGCTATTACCAGCAGGACAGTGGGGTGGGAGGAGGTATTGTTTCATATTCTCTGTGTGTATATAAAGTCTGCTGCAGTTTCCACGGTAAACATCTGATGAAGTGAGCTGTAGCTCACGAAAGCTCATGCTCAAATAAATTGGTTAGTCTCTAAGGTGCCACAAGTACTCCTTTTCTTTTTGCGAATACAGACTAACACGGCTGTTCCTCTGAAAAATGGGCCATAGTGATGCATCATTTGAGCTGATTGTTTCCAGCCAATTATGCACCAGGGTATTTCTTTTGAATGTAACAATAACACTTCTGTTTTAAAAATTGCCATAAACACCTACAGTCATGATTAAAAAAGCATATAGGTATAACAATAGCACAGCAGTGGTTTGGCTTCCTACTGTGGGTCAGCCCCATATTTCTTTTTATAAGGGTATGTATCTCACCAGGGCGTTGTGAGGGTTAATTAATTAGTGTTTATCAAATGTCCTGAGCTCCTTCAGATGATAGGTACAATGGTTTATGAATAATGGTGATAATTATTACTTTATTTACTTGTGTTGCAGAAGGGCAATAGATTAGTATTTCCACAAATGTGGCAAAATGTAAAACTTCATCGGAGTAGCCCCGAACCCAAGATCAGCCATTGGTAAAACTGTGCTATGTAACTATGAGCGAACTCTTGATGTTAGGTGTTCTGTCTTGAGCTCATTGTACTATGGATGAATATAGTTTATTATCCCTTGTAATATGTTCCTATGCAAGATGTGCACACAAACCCAGCAGATGGTGTATCCTCTCAGCTCCAGTTGCCATTCGTCAACACGTTATAACTGTATGAGTTCTGTCAGCACCAACATAAGGAAATGGGAGATTCTTTGATTGACCATTTATTATGACTGAGTTATAGGTTTAACAGATGGCTCCATTTTGTTGGCAGGGAACATTTCATGTTTGTTTAATTAGCTGCAAGTCATATTGAAAACTATAGCATGTTACATGCGGATACATAAGCGTGTCTGTGAGATGGATCTTTCGTGTGGGATGTATAGGGAGTTGTTGGAAAGTGCATTTCATACAACAGAGTTCCTGACTGGATTTCGTATCCTCAAATATAAACCTCCTGAAAAATGGAGGCTAGTGCATTCATTGGTTGACTAGAAGTCCTAACTAATGGCGAAGATAGACATGGAGAAAGCACTGTGCTAGGTTCAATTCCCAGTTCAGCCACAGACTATGTGTTTTTGCGTAAGTCACTTAACTTATCTGTGCCTCACTTTTTCTAGCTCCTTCCCTGCCACGCGGAGGGGAGGATAGTGACTCCTGCTGCTTAGGTTCCCTGTTTGAAAAGCACTGTAAGACCCTGAGATGGAAGAGGCCGTTGAGGTGCCCATGGTATTACGACGATGAAGCACAAGCAGTGCATGGAGTCCATGTTTCATATTTTTCCGCTGTGCTCCCTTGGGAGACAAATAATTAAAACTTTCGTGTATTTGTACAGAGTTCTTGTCAGATTTCCACTTCTGCGTTTGAAATATTTGTTGAATTCTTTAATGTACATGCAGTGCAGTGCTCAGGCTCCTTCTGCTTGGGTTTATTTATTTTGTCCAGCAGACAAGTACTAGGTACACTAAAATCTGTGGAGTAAAATCAATATCCTGAAAGCCAAATCTTGCCCTCTGTTACACCCCTGCAGCCCCACTGTACTCAGTGCTTAGTTAAGCCCTCTATCCCTATTGATTCAATAGTGTTGCAGTGGCATAACGGAGAGCAGAAGTTGACTTAGAGAGTTTGGAACATAAACATCAGAATCAGAACTACTTCCCCCAGTGTTCGTGCCTCAAACACCTACCGGGTAAACTGTTATTGATTCTGTACTGAGTAGAATCAATGCACCGCATTGTCAGGAGGCAGTGCTGATCTAGTGACTTGGGGTTAGAGCTGAGAATCAAGCAACCTGGATTCTGTTCCTGGTTCACTGTGTGATCCTGGGCAAGCTGCTTCACCTCCTGCCTCAGTTTCCCCCATCTGCAATACAAGGCAAAGAAATTGTGCATGTCTGTAAAGTGCTCTGAGAGCTTTACATGAAAATGCTATGTAAGGGCAAAGCATTATTATCATGGGTTGTTCCGCTTTCTAACACTCCAGAATGGCTCCAGGGAAAAGCAATTGGCCACTATGGCAAACCCTGATCTCCTCATCTTCTTTGCAGGACTCCTTTTGGGAGACTAGGTGCTTGTGTTCCACAGAACAGGATGCAGAGGAATTCTTCCCATCACCGGGGTCATTAGAGAGACAAGGTGGGTGAGGTGATATCTTTTACTGGACGAACTTCTGTTGGTGAGAGAAACAAGCTTTCGAGCTTACACAGAGCTCTTCTGCAGGATACAAGATACTACCTCCCCCACCTGGTCTCCCTAATATCCTGGGACCAACACAGCTACAACAATACTGCATGCATCAGTGTCATTGGCATTTGCGCATGCTCCTCTCCCAGGCTCAGTCATTTGCAGACAGACAGACAGACAGACAGACGGCAGTGTGGGATGGAGATGTGGTTGCAGTAAGACGGTGGGCGTGAATGTATTAACCCTGAACTGAGAATGACAAAAGCTAGATCTATACTAGAGACTTTTGCCGGTATAGCTATGTCCGTTGGGGGTGATGTTTTATGACATTTTTATACTGGCAAAAGGCTTACTGTCAACTCAGCTTTCCTGGCAATGCTTTTGCCAATATAGCTTATTTTGTTCAGGGAACCGCTATAAGCTGCGTCTACACGAGGTATAGACTGGTATTGTCACACCGCCTCGCTACACTGCCAAAGCTTTTCTAGTGTAGACTAGGCCTCAAACACCAGGGAGATAAATAGTCCTTACTGAGTTAATGCCATCAACCCTTCTAATACAGCTGCTGGGATGGCACAGATAGCACTCTGTCCCCAGACCCCTCCATGGGCTCTGCGTGTACTACACTGGTCTACACTGCAAAGTTAGGTCAATGTAAGTCACTTTGTGTCAACCTATATCTGCCTATGTCTACACTCCAGTTTGTCTCTTGCTGAAGTGCTCCATTACAGCAGAGCATTAAAACCATCTCCTGAATGGTGCTGAGCCATGATCCACATACTGTGATGGATGCAGTGCGAGTGTAGACACTGTGTGACCTATGTTAACTCTAACAGTCCTCCAGCATCTGTCCCACAATGCCCCACACTGTCCACTCTGGTCACAATTGTGAACTCCGTTGCCCAGGGGTCACAGAGACCAACAGCCACCCCCACTCCTTTAAAACCACCCCATGATTTTGCATGCTTCTTCCTGATTGCCCAGCCTGGTGACCTCAGTTAGGAGTTCTCCCTTGTTGTGTGCAACTGCCCAGCCTACCATAGTGGCTATACACTGCAGAGGAATCATAGAATATCAGGGTTGGAAGGGACCTGAGGAGGTCATCTAGTCCAACCCCCTGCTCAAAGCAGGGCCAATCCCCAATTTTTGTCCCGTATCCCTAAATGGCCCCCTCAAGGATTGAACTCACAACCCTGGGTTTAGCAGGCCAAAGCTCAAACCACTGAGCTGTCCCTGGGAGCTGCTGCTTGGAGTAGACAGGAGGTATTGGATCTCCAGGGCTGTGGGGCGACGAGGCGGTGTAGGCACAACTGCGGAGTTGTCAGAAGCACGCACACCTTAGGGTTGCCAGGTGTCCAGTTTTTGACCGGAAAGGTTTGACCTGGTAGAAAAGGGATGCTGGCAGCTCAGGTCAGCACTGTTGACTGGGCTATTAAAAGTCCGGTTGGCGTGGGCCTGGCAGGCTCCCTACCCAGCTCTGCGCAGCTCCCGGGAAGTTGCTGGGTGTAGGGGCAGCCATGGGGGCTCTGCGTGCTGCCCCTGCCCTAAGCACTGGCTCCACAGCATCCATTGGCCCGGAACTGTGGCCAATAGGAGCTGCCGGGTGGGGGGGGTGCCTTTGGGCGGGGGCAGCATGCAGAGCCCCGTGGCCGCCCCTCCCTCTAGGAGCTGGAGGGACATGCCAGCAACTTCCCAGGAGCCGCCTGAAGTAAGTGCCACCCAGAGCCCGCACCCCTCATCCCCGCCTACACCCCAACCCCCTGCCTCAGCCCTCCCGCACTCCAAACCCTTCTGCCTCAGTCCAGAGACCCCTCTTACACCCCAAGCCCCTCATCCCTGACCCCACTCCAGAGCCTACACCCCCAGCTTGAGCCCTCACCCCCTCCCACACCCAAACCCCCTGCCCCAGACCGGAACCCCCTCCCACACCGTGAACCCCTCATTTCTGGTCCCACCCCACAGCCGGAGCTCTCACTCCATCCCACACCCACACCCCCTGAGCCAGCCCAGTGAAAATGAGCGAGTGAGTGAGGGTTTGGGAGAGCGAGCGAGGAAAGAAGGGGGAATGGAGTGTGCAGGGACAGGGCCTCAGAGGGGGGGCGGGG